AGATCAGCTCAGTAAGGAACTCCATGGTCGGGGAGCAAGGTTAGCTCAGCAACTTGCTTCTTGGCGAGCAACATTAGCTCAGCAAGGAACTCCAAGGTCAGCGAGCAAGGTCAGCTTCACCACTTGCTTCTTGGCAAGCAAGATCAGCTCGGCAAGGGACTCCAAGGTCGGAGAGCAAGGTCAGCTCCGCGACTTGCTTCTTAGCGAGCAACATCAACTCGATAAGGAACTACAAGGTTGGCCAGCAAGGTCAGTTCTGCGACTTGTTTCTTGACGAGCAAGATCAGCTCGGTAAAGAACTCCAAGGTCGAGGAGCAAGGTTAGCTCAACGACTTGCTTCTTGGCGAGCAACATTAGCTCGGCAAGGAACTCCAAGGTCGATGAGCAAGGTCAGTTTTGTGACTTGCTTCTTGGCGAGCAAAATCAGCTTGGCAAGGGACTCCAAGGTCGAGAAGCAAGGTCAGCTCCGCGACTTGCTTCTTAGCGAGCAACATTAACTCGACAAGGAACTACAAGGTCGGCGAGCAAGGTCAGCTCCGCGACTTACTTTTTGGCGAGCAAGATCAGCTTGGCAAGGGACTCCAAAGTCGAGAAGCAAGGTCAACTCTGCGACTTGCTTCTTGGCGAGCAACATTAACTCGACAAGGAACTACAAGGTCGGGAAGCAAGGTTAGCTCCGCGACTTGCTTCTTAGCAAGCAAGATCAGCTCGGCAACAGACTCCAAGATCGGGGAGCAAGGTCAGCTCCGCGACGTGCTTCTTGGGAGCAAGATCAGCTCGGCAAGGAACTCCAAGGTCGGGGAGCAAGGTCAGCTCCGCGACTTGCTTCTTGGTGAGCAAGATCAGCTCAGCAAGTGACTCCAAGGTTGGCGAGCAAGGTCAGCTCGGCACCTTGCTTCTTGGCGAGCAAAATCAGCTTGGTAAGGAACTTCAAAGTTGGCGAGCAAGGTTAGCTCGACAACTTCCTTATTGGCAAGCAAAATCCACTCGGTAAGGAACTTCAAAGTTGGCAAACAAGGTCAACTCGGCAAGGAACTTCAAAGTTGTGAGCAGGGTCAGCTCGGCAACTTGCTTCTTGGCGAGCAAAATTCACTTGCCAAGGAATTCTAAAGTTGATCAAAACCATTAACAAATCTCTCGCCAAGCAAAATCCGCTCGGTAAGGAATTTCAAAGTTGAACAAAACACCAACTTTCATCCTGCCTTGCAAAATCAGCTCGGTAAGGAATTCTGATTTTTCCATCAAAATGATTGTCAATTGCCCCTTTTCCTCAGCCTTCTTACTGACGTCTTCCAAAACCGAACTCCCTAGATCTCTTCCATGGTTGTTTGCACGGCCATCCTCTGCGCTTTCCGCTGGCTGGCGTGCTCCTCTAACACATCCCTTAGGTCTTTCGAACGGTTGGAGCGTGAATATCCCGACACCATCGTCGGATGTAAGGGGTTGTAACTGCTATCCCGCGTATGAGATGTCGCCGCTGGTGTGGCGTAGTCTTCAGCTCTGAAGCTTCTCGTGATGGAGAGTGAAAGGGTGCGACGTCTATTCTGACTACCGGAACGGCGACAATAGGCGTGCTTGCTGTGGTTCCCCACTCCAACGACGTCTTTTCCCTTCATCTGGCATTTCATGGCCCCCATCTTCGTCGCTATCTTCTTGATGATGGTATCTTGGTCTTTTAGCTTGTCTTTTAGTGCTGAGTGTGTGAGTCTCGCTATCAGCGATGCTCTTCTAGGCTGCCAGAGTGCCCAGAACTCCTTGCGCGCTTGTCTCGCGCATCTCTGGGAAGTTCTCGTGCGGAGGTCTCCAAACCAGCCATTGTTAGAATGGCGGACAGGTCATCTTTGCGCCGAACGGACTCTGGAGTGATGCCGTCGTTGGCGGACAGCGGAATGTCATTGTTCGCCATAAAAGATGATCGGAAAAGATTGGAGGACAAGGTTTTATCTATGGAAATTCCCACAGACGGCGCCGATTGTACGGGGAGCAAATATCCATACTCCTTGTGTCCAAGTTGCGCTTCACTCCGATCGACCTGAGAACACAATGACGGTGAGCTACCCGACGGTGTACAACCGAAAAATCCTCCAACGATCAAATTAGCACATAGGGAGAGAGAGAAAAGAGAGGAGATGAAACGGTAGGTGAGTTGTGATCATAAGATGTTCCAAACCTGAGTATGAAGGCGCAACACCGTTTATATACCCTCTGCGCGCTACTCTGCTCGTTATTTCCTGGACACGTGGTTGTATTGCCCTCTTTATTCTTAACACGTGTACCCTACCAAACGGTATTGGCGCACACCATTGGCAAGTTTCTCTTCTCGCACTCCAATTGGACCACCTGGCAATTTTCACTGAGCTAGGCATAGCCCAATCAGTTCCAGACTCAATTCCGGCCGACCTTCAGGGTCAAGCTCAATAACTAGCTCGGTTTGCCCAACTCCGCTCGTTCCCGCTGACCTTGCTTAGCCTTGGACCATCGCTTCACCTAGCTCGGCTTAGCCCGGTCCAACTTCCGAACCTTGGGCTAACTCAGCCGTATGATCTAGAACCTTGGCCAAACTGCCCTCAGCTATGCCAACTCGGTCGCGTAATTCAACGACAAGGCCAAAGTCACAACTAGCTGTGCCCGTTTGCTCGACGCAAACAAACCTCTCATCCGTATATAATCTTTTACAGCATTTTCTTGCATGTCGTAAATCATTACACTTTTTATAATATAATTTTATATGTTGTAGAATGTTATTTTTAATATATAATATAAATACATGAATATAACCTTGCCTAACAGTATATACATCGTAACTTATAAAATGCAACGTGTTAACAAACCAAGCAGAAGCAACAACTATGAAGCAAGCAAAAAAGTCTAATATCCATACACCAAACAACCTGCATACTAACTTTCATCCTCAACTTCTATCATATCAAGCTGATAACAATCTCAAACATACAAACAAAAAGAAGTATCCAAATCATAAGATTTACTAATCTCTAAAATACGATTTTAAACATCAAAAAAGTATAATTACAAATCGTAAATCAATTAATTTAATATTTAGCCTAAAAGAACAGATTGACTAGGCCATTCAACTGTACTTCCTATTGCATCTTGAAGATCATACATTTCAAGAGTAGAACGAAACAACGGCACGTTGACTGTTACGTGGTTCACCCATACTTTCCAACACATAGGTCCAAGAGTCACATGATGCACCTTTGACTTGGGATCCCTTGATGCAATTTGACTTTCTGCAACCACCAAGTTTGTCCCCTCCCAATGCAACAACTTGCATTTGACATTCTCTAAGCTCGACACACCATTACTTTGATCCTACAAAAATTAAGAGCATATAAGCATACTGCATAACATTCATCTCATTTACCAAGTATTAGTTCAACAAAGGAAATGAAAGTGTCAAAAAGCTTCAAGTAGTACTCACTTATATATGTCATCAATGTCACAAAAGAAAATTTCAACCTGAAGAATACATATTTTGAGGTGGTCACACTTATGAGTCTACTCAACCTGATGAATTTATAAAAGCTAAATGGACATTCTAATTCAAGTGGATCTCTAATAAGTCCCTCAGTTTTTCACTGAAGAACATAAGAAGATGATTTTGGAGTCCTCATTATGAGAGTTGTATTAAAAACAAAACAAAAAAACAAATCTGAAAGTGTAAAAAAGAACAGAGTAGAAGCAGAGCTATAGAGGAGGTGAGATAGAATGAGAAAATCCAAATGGTTATTTGTTGAAATCACTCATCTTCTCAAGAACCCAGATGGGATGTTGAGAAAGAAAGGTCCAAAGATCTAATTGTGTGTATCATCGTCACGTCCTTTTACATTCGCTCCTCCCAATGACACCCCCTCTCTATTTCACGCTTCCCCCTTCTTTTGTTTTTTCTTTGTATTTTTTTAATATTATTTTATGATTCAATCTTGTGATTATTAATATTTGATTAAATTATGATCAAATTAATTTTCTTAATGTAGATAATTTTCTTAATGTTTCTTGTAAAATGAATAATTCAAATTATCAAAATAGACACAATATGAACCCACAATAAGAAAAATGCACTATGTTATCCAAATAAATGCACTACTAATAAAATAAAATAAAATAAAAATACTATTCCGTATGCAAAAGAGAATTATTAAATAGTTATGAAATATTACGTGACATGTCCTACATCTTACTCTGTTAAATAAAGAATTGAAAAAAAAATACATTAGTGGGTGAATAAAAATCCGTTGATTTATTGCTTGTCAACTAACTAATCAACATTATCTCACTTATAAAGTTTTTCCTGCTACGCTGTTACAGCATCACATAAGAAATGATACTCGGAACTTCTACTAAATAATTATCCGCTTATATAAGCTATGCATGTTTGCAGCTTTCACATTCAACTAACTACATACAAGCACAATGTGGATGATCAGATACAATGAGAATAAGAATAATAGGGAACTAATTAGCATCCCGGAACTAATAGAGAACTAATTAGCATCCCGGAACTAATTAGCAAGTTTATTTTGAGTTGGAACTGTATGATTTAAACCTGAGTGTAATATTTAAAGCCACTACAGTTCCAACTATGGTTGCAACTGTCACGTGAAAGATAAATGTGTTATGCTGAATCATAATTATGTGTACAAATAAAGAAAACATAATTTCATTCTTGGAGTTCGACCAGCTTGTCACATGTATAAAAGTCATATAAGTAGCAACCAAGATTATTCAAGTATGATTGATGGCATAATATAAGCATTTTAAATGCACAAGTTTCTTCATTTCCAAGAAGCATGTCTGCTATGAACTAAGCATGTCTGATATGAACTAAGCAAAAAGTAGATACAAGGTTTCTCATAATTAATAAATAATAAATGAAAACAACGAAAGGACAGTAAAATGAATTATGTTTTAAATCAAATGATCTACACTATGAAAGAACTGTCCAAGTACAAAAAAGCTAGTGGGTTTTTCACAGAGTATTGCCAACAACTAGATACAAGCAAGGCAAACATGAAAACAATGAAAGGACAGTAAAATGGGTAGTTTCTCAGGCCTAAGGCTATTCAACAGTCCAAGAAGTAGACCAGCAACTCTATGCTAGTTACATTGTAGAATAAAGGACTCAACCCAACAGGCTGCAACAGTTTTCAATATGATATGACATGCCACGGGTTATGAAACCATCACAAGATCCAAAGCTAAATTAATCATTGACTTTCTACTCCACCAATACGATCCATGCATCAAACACACACACACACACTGGGAAATGCATACAGTTATGGGATTATTCCAATAGAGATGTAAACTGTTGACAGGAAAAAAACTGATCGAAGACATTTATGTTTTAAAGAAATCCAAATCTTCAAAAGTTCGTCAAGAGTACTCTACCTAACCAAGTGATGCAGATTATTGAGCAAAGGTTGTGCAAAAACCTGTGATTAACTATCCTACCACGATGTTTAAAATAAAATTTGAACGCCGTAGCATAATTGAAACAACTCAACTGTTAATTTAGTTGTGAAAAAACCGGAAATACTATGCTCATCACTTCTATCATTAAACCACAAAATCCACTGAAAATAATGCATGAACATTAAGTCATGACAATAACTGTAACCAGCAAAACCTCTGCCCTGATTCAAAGTGAAAGCAAATCGTAGACCTACACATCATATGAAAACATTTGTTTCATTGTGAACAGAACTTTGATTTCTATTTGTGAACAAAATCTAAACACAAATATCAATATCAACTAACAATCAGCACATACAAAGTCATGATTCTTTAGCTCTCACTACTCCAAACAAGGTACAATGCAAACTATTGAAAAAGACGAGCACAATATTCATTTACTTCAATAGTACTTTATTACTTCCGCTACCAAGTTATCTTGGTGTATAATAATTAAGATCCAATCAATTAACATAACATGAAAGTACCAAATATCAGCAATCATTTTTTATCCATAGCCTACACCAAAAACTCACCTGTAAGATCAATTAGAAACCAAAGCAAAAGCAAAATCAGAAGATCAGATTTGGACTTACCAAATATTGAATAAGGTTCACTTTGCAAATGAATGAAATTTATTTGAGACAAAAATAGAATTTCCCTAACAATGCAAGCTTGCGTATTCAAAGATTAGAAATTACCTTCACAAAGAGCAAGCTTAACCTTCCTTCCCTTGCAATGTTTGAAAGCAAAAAGCTCGTATATATCAATCTCTGCTATGTGATTCATGGAACCCATATGTGACTGTGAATCTTAAATGCATCCCCATTATCACATTAAAATGCTTATGAAATCTAAAGAACAAATCATGAATGTTCATGGAATATTTTTTTTTCTTGTTTAATTGGTAGACTCTTGGCAATGGTGGCCAAGATACTTATAAATAGTTGATATATTGGGTTCACTGTATTGCATTGAAAATCAACATACATTCACACCCTGTTTTGTCTTTGAATTGTCAATTCCATCTTGCGTGATATACCCTCACGGGATCACCGATCACTTAGCCATTGATTGTTCATCTTTCAACTTGCCCATAGGTTGAACTGTCAGGAAGGCGACAAGAAAAATTATCAAATTTGTACTTTTGTTCACCTATATAAATGAATAGTTTTATGTGTATTTATTAATATAAATCAGATTATCTTGTTTTTAGAAATAAGAAAATAGTATACGAAATGAGATTATACATCGTATTGCCCTGTAAAAAAATGAATTCTATTAGATCATGGAGTCATTATTACCTACTGAGTAAGGATCTCTTATCTCTAAATATTCCTATCTGCTGTCTCAAATCAATCACAATCATTGGATGAATTCCAAAATTTGATAATTTCAAAACATATTTAATAATTGTGAGTGATTTGAGATAGGAAGACAGAGATATTTGGAGACAAAGGATCCTTGTGCATATATAAGTATTAAAAAGTGGAATACATTAAAGAGAGGCACATAAATAGCTGCGTGCTGCTGTTTCCATGTAAAAAAACACTTGGTATAGAAGATTTGTTGTTTTTTGATTGTCATAAGAACATACCTCCGTTTGATTTCTTAAAGTGTTTTTTTTTTTAATGATCAGCCATTCAGAAAGATTAGAGTTTTTACTATATTACAAATATAAGTTTTCATTAAAAAATTATTTTATTTTCTATTTTAATAAATTTATTTTTGTGCAGGGAGCAAATATTCAATGCTATCCGTACTCCTCGTATCCAAGCTGTGCTTCCTTCCGACTAACCTGAGAACACAAAGATGGTGAGCTACCCGGCGGTATGATGCCGGAAAACCCTTTCGACAGTCAAGTTAGCACACTAAGAGAGAGAAAGAAAAAAGAGGAGACAAAGTGATAGGTGAGCTCTAATCACCAGATGTTCCAAACTTGTGTATGAAGGCGCAACACCGTTTATATACCCTCTGCGCGCTACTCTGCTCGTTATTTCCTGGACACGTGGTTGTATTGCCCTCTTTATTCTTAACACGTGTACCCTACCAAACGGTATTGGCGCACACCATTGGCAAGTTTCTCTTCTCGCACTCCAATTGGACCACCTGGCAATTTTCACTGAGCTAGGCATAGCCCAATCAGTTCCAGCCTCAATTCCGGCCGACCTTCAGGGTCAAGCTCAATAACTAGCTCGGTTTGCCCAACTCCGTTCGTTCCCGCTGACCTTGCTCGGCCTTGGACCATCGTTTCACTTAGCTCAGCTTAGCCCAGTCTAACTTTCGGACCTTGGGCTAACTCAGCCGCATGATCTAGAACCTCGGCCAAACTACCCTCGGCAATGCCAACTCGGTCGCGTAACACAATGGCAAGGCCAAAGTCACAACTAGCTGTGCCCGTTTGCTCGACGCAAACAAACCTCTCATCCGTATATAATCTTTTACAGCATTTTCTTGCATGTCGTAAATCATTACACTTTTTATAATATAATTTTATATGTTGTAGAATGTTATTTTTAATATATAATATATATACAAGAATATAACTTTGCCTAACAATATGTAGACAGTAGCTTATAAAATGTAACATGTTAACAAACCAAGCAGAAGCAGCAACTATGAAGTAAGCAAAAAAATCTAATATCTATACTCCAAACAACATGCATACTAACTTTCATCCTCAACTTCTATCGTATCAAGCTGATAACAACCTCAAACATACAAACAAAAAAAAGTATCCAAATCATAAGATTTACTAATCTCTAAAATACGATTTTAAACATCAAAAAAGTATAATTACAAATCGTAAATCAATTAATTTAATATTTAGCCTAAAAGAACAGATTGACTAGGCCATTCAACTGTACTTCCTATTGCATCTTGAAGATCATACATTTCAAGAGTAGAACGAAACAACGGCACGTTGACTGTTACGTGGTTCACCCATACTTTCCAACACATAGGTCCAAGAGTCACATGATGCACCTTTGACTTGGGATCCCTTGATGCAATTTGACTTTCTGCAACCACCAAGTTTGTCCCCTCCCAATGCAACAACTTGCATTTGACATTCTCTAAGCTCGACACACCATTACTTTGATCCTACAAAAATTAAGAGCATATAAGCATACTGCATAACATTCATCTCATTTACCAAGTATTAGTTCAACAAAGGAAATGAAAGTGTCAAAAAGCTTCAAGGAGAACTCACTTATACATGTCATCAATTTTAGAAAAGAAAATTTCAACCTGATGACTACATATTTTGAGGTGGTCACACTTATGAGTCTACTCGACCTGATGAATTTATAAAAACTAAATGGACATTCTAATTCAAGTAGATCTCTGATAAGTTCCTCAGTTCTTCACTAAAGAACACAAGAAGATGATTTTGGAGTCTTCATTATGAGAGTTGTATTAAACACACACACACACACACACACACACACACACACACACACACACATATCTAAAAGTGTAAAAAAGAACAGAGTAGAAGCAGAGCTATAGAGGAGGTGAGATAGAATGAGAAAATCCAAATGGTTGTTTGTTGAAATCACTCATCTTCTCAAGAACCCAGATGGGATGTTGAGAAAGAAAGGTCCAAAGATCTAATTGTGTGTATCATCGTCACGTCCTTTTACATTCGCTCCTCCCAATGACACCCCCTCTCTATTTCACGCTTCCCCCTTCTTTTGTTTTTTCTTTGTATTTTTTTAATATTATTTTATGATTCAATCTTGTGATTATTAATATTTGATTAAATTATGATCAAATTAATTTTCTTAATGTAGATAATTTTCTTAATGTTTCTTGTAAAATGAATAATTCAAATTATCAAAATAGACACAATATGAACCCACAATAAGCAAAATGCAAATGCACTACTAATAAAATAAAATAAAAATACTATTCCATATGAAAAGAGAAAATTATTAAATAGTCATGAAATATTACGTGACATGTCTACATCTTACACTGTTAAATAAAGAATTGAAAAAAAAATACATTAGTGGGTGAATAAAAATCCGTTGATTTATTGTTTGTCAACTAGCTAATCAACATTATCTCACTTATAAAGTTTTTCCTGCTACGCTGTTACAACATCACATAAGAAATGATACTCGGAACTTCTACTAAATAATTATCCGCTTATATAAGCTATGCATGTTTGCAGCTTTCACATTCAACTAACTACATACAAGCACAATGTGGATGATCAGATACAATGAGAATAAGAATAATAGGGAACTAATTAGCATCCCGGAACTAATAGAGAACTAATTAGCATCCCGGAACTAATTAGCAAGTTTATTTTGAGTTGGAACTGTATGATTTAAACCTGAGTGTAATATTTAAAGCCACTACAGTTCCAACTATGGTTGCAACTGTCACGTGAAAGATAAATGTGTTATGCTGAATCATAATTATGTGTACAAATAAAGAAAACATAATTTCATTCTTGGAGTTCGACCAGCTTGTCACATGTATAAAAGTCATATAAGTAGCAACCAAGATTATTCAAGTATGATTGATGGCATAATATAAGCATTTTAAATGCACAAGTTTCTTCATTTCCAAGAAGCATGTCTGCTATGAACTAAGCATGTCTGATATGAACTAAGCAAAAAGTAGATACAAGGTTTCTCATAATTAATAAATAATAAATGAAAACAACGAAAGGACAGTAAAATGAATTATGTTTTAAATCAAATGATCTACACTATGAAAGAACTGTCCAAGTACAAAAAAGCTAGTGGGTTTTTCACAGAGTATTGCCAACAACTAGATACAAGCAAGGCAAACATGAAAACAATGAAAGGACAGTAAAATGGGTAGTTTCTCAGGCCTAAGGCTATTCAACAGTCCAAGAAGTAGACCAGCAACTCTATGCTAGTTACATTGTAGAATAAAGGACTCAACCCAACAGGCTGCAACAGTTTTCAATATGATATGACATGCCACGGGTTATGAAACCATCACAAGATCCAAAGCTAAATTAATCATTGACTTTCTACTCCACCAATACGATCCATGCATCAAACACACACACACACACTGGGAAATGCATACAGTTATGGGATTATTCCAATAGAGATGTAAACTGTTGACAGGAAAAAAACTGATCGAAGACATTTATGTTTTAAAGAAATCCAAATCTTCAAAAGTTCGTCAAGAGTACTCTACCTAACCAAGTGATGCAGATTATTGAGCAAAGGTTGTGCAAAAACCTGTGATTAACTATCCTACCACGATGTTTAAAATAAAATTTGAACGCCGTAGCATAATTGAAACAACTCAACTGTTAATTTAGTTGTGAAAAAACCGGAAATACTATGCTCATCACTTCTATCATTAAACCACAAAATCCACTGAAAATAATGCATGAACATTAAGTCATGACAATAACTGTAACCAGCAAAACCTCTGCCCTGATTCAAAGTGAAAGCAAATCGTAGACCTACACATCATATGAAAACATTTGTTTCATTGTGAACAGAACTTTGATTTCTATTTGTGAACAAAATCTAAACACAAATATCAATATCAACTAACAATCAGCACATACAAAGTCATGATTCTTTAGCTCTCACTACTCCAAACAAGGTACAATGCAAACTATTGAAAAAGACGAGCACAATATTCATTTACTTCAATAGTACTTTATTACTTCCGCTACCAAGTTATCTTGGTGTATAATAATTAAGATCCAATCAATTAACATAACATGAAAGTACCAAATATCAGCAATCATTTTTTATCCATAGCCTACACCAAAAACTCACCTGTAAGATCAATTAGAAACCAAAGCAAAAGCAAAATCAGAAGATCAGATTTGGACTTACCAAATATTGAATAAGGTTCACTTTGCAAATGAATGAAATTTATTTGAGACAAAAATAGAATTTCCCTAACAATGCAAGCTTGCGTATTCAAAGATTAGAAATTACCTTCACAAAGAGCAAGCTTAACCTTCCTTCCCTTGCAATGTTTGAAAGCAAAAAGCTCTTATATATCAATCTCTGCTAGAAGGATATCAATGGCCTGATGATCTTTCTGAAAAATTCAATTCTCCATAAAATCAAAATGGGGAAAAACAGAAACGTTAATATTCAACAGAAAATAATCACAAAAAATTTAACTTCCCCTTCTTACAGGTAAAATAGAATTGGATTAGTTTCCACCTCACTATATGAACTATATGAACTTCATGAATCTATGATTGTTAAGTAGAGAGGCAAATCAAATAAGCTACCTAGTACTAGAGAATCATCTCACACAAAGCATATGTTTTGCAACTGAAAAATGGGGAAGACAATATAAATTTTGTAATTAATTAAGCTACCTAGTACTGATAGTATACATTATAAATTTCAGTCCACTAGCGCACAACAGGTCAGTTGTTTAGATTGATCTGAAGATAAGTCTGTGTAATTAGTTCCTTGTTTCTACACTGAAAAGGTTAGGGAGTTGCACAAGAAAAAGAAGTGTAGTGAGAAAAACGAGTGTAAGGTCAGAGATTACCAGTGCAAACGAAAAGTTGTGTACTCTATCCAATAATCTACTGATCTTCATGTTAAAGAGAAAACCCTACACTTTAGATGGAGATGCAGACTTCTAGTATTCTAACAACTCAGAATATATCCATGCAACAAAAATGGGGATAAATCCAAGCAAAAAAGACACCTGGAGCATGATACAAAAAAGCTCCATTAAATCTATCAGCCAAAACTACTCAAAAAAGATGAGCACAAAACAGATAATAGAGAGAAAAACAATAAATAAATAATAAATAATAAAAAATAAAAAAAGAAGCAGTAGCACCAAACCAACTTCTGTTTGACAATTAAATAAGCAGAGAGAGAAATATATGTACATACACAGAGAGAGAAATATAGACGAGTAAGGTTACCTCAATTAAATATATGTACATACACAGAGAGAGAAATATAGACGAGTAAGGTTACCTCAAGTATCATAAAGATCTAACCATTTTTATGCAATGCACAAGCTATTTTCTCTTGAAATTTCCTGCATCAGCAAGTAAATGGGCTCCAAATTAGTAACTACCTAATGCGCATTCCAATTAAAATAGCACTCACAGCAATCACTACAACCAGCCTGTTAATAATAGGGGATCATTGACAGCAATCACCAGCATGGGATTATTGTTATTTTCAACATAAATCATTTGAAGAAGTTCAATCAAAACTAGTCAAATTGTGAATAAATCAACTGAAACCTAATCATATTTTGACAAATTCTGAGTTTAGTTCCCATAAATTTGAGTAATCGATCGATTGATCATATGAATTTGAGAGAACAAAACCCGCAGATAAAGTTTCGAAAAAAGCTTCATTCGCAGCCAATTCAACATCGTAGCCCTTAAGCTTCGTTCGCAGCCAATACATATGTTTACAAATGCATCACATACGTGACCTATATATGCATACATAGAGAGAGAGAGTGTAGAGAGAGACCTGAGTGAATCTTCCTCCGATCAGTCCTAGAAACTCACAAAGAAAATCAAATCAGTGGCTCAAAATCGAAATCGAAATCGAACTCCCAGCTCAGACGATTCGGTGGTGATCGGAGGGACAGTGGTCGGTGGTGGTGCTCGTGTGTGTGAGACGCCGATGGAGAGAGAAAGAGAGAGAGAGAGAGAGAGAGAGGGGTATGAGAATGATGTAAGCCTCCGTTTGGGTAGTGGGTTGGCTTTTTGGCTTTTTGGTTTTTTTAGCTATTTTAGTCTGGACTTAAAAGCTTGGTTTGGGAAGGGTTTTTTAACTTTTTGACTTTTTTTGTGAGAGAAGAATGTAATGATTATGGGTTGGATGTGATGTTTTGTTTCTTATGGTTAAAATAGCCTATTTTGTTTTTTTGGCTAAAATAGTCAAAAAAGTCCAAACCAGCTTCCCAAATGAAGCCTAAATCTATCTATAAGTGAACACCTCTTATGGTGTCCTGAAGTTTTACTCTCCTCATGTCATGTGGCAGTATTTTTTATTTTTTAAAAAAAAGTTAAACAAAGAGATGGGCAAGGCTTGAACCCATGACCATGAGTTTAAGTACGAGAACTCATACCACTTAAGTTAAGTACACATTATAATATTAATTTTATTTTATTTTTTTATTTCTACTTATTTAAATTGCACACACATCATGTGTGCCACCTACTAATAGTGATATAAGTTTTTGTATTAAAAAAATCTACTCATAAGTAGATTTTTTAGTTTATTGGAAATAAAAATAAAAATTTCTCATATCTACAAAAAATTTATAAATACTTAAGGATATTTAAAATTTTGTTTTTATTCTTTATAATTAAAATATAATTTCTCTAGTGACTGAGCAGGTTTGGAATAAAAACAGGTATGAATCTAAAATGAGAGGGAGTGTGGAGTAAGTTTAAAAAAAAAATTACTTTTTAAATTCAAATAATTATCATATACTTAGAAGGAAAATATTTTTTAATTTTTTAAAAAAATCACTAAATTCAAAAAAATATAAAATTTAATATTTTACTACATGAAATGCATGTTGTCTTAAGTACAAATATTTTATAACATATTTTTGTATGCCGTGAAAATATACATTTTTACGGCATAAAAAAATAAATTGAATTTTTTTTTTTAAAGAAGTTTTCACGACATTCATTAGCATGTCATGTAAAGTTATAATATTTTACAACATTAAATGTCTGTTGTTTTAAGTGGAAATATTTTACGACATATATTTTGTAAGTCGTGAAAACATATATTTTTTACAGTATACTTTTGTATGCCATAAATATATGAATTAACGACTTATATGGTATGTATGCTGTTATTGACAAAACATTAACGGCTTGCAAAAAAAAAAAAAAAATGTCGTAGAATGTACTAATTACGACATGCTTTTAATGCATGCCGTAAACATAATGCCGTAAATAGTTGGTTTTGTTGTAGTCAAGTGATGTCAATTTGAGGGACATAGGAGTGAACAAGTCATCAGATAGTAAGAACGGCGAAGCAAACACTGGGCAAGAAGCTAAGCAAGAAATTAAGCAAGCTTAGTAAGACGTCGAGCAAGAAGTTGAGCAATTAGAGCAAGATGCCAAGAACAGAATACCTAATTCGGCTGTTGAAGTAAGCACTGGAGAAAATAAAGCCACCAACAACTCAGACCAAGATATAGAATTCACGCCTTCCCTAATCCTAGTAGACTTTGAAGATACACAGGAAGAAGCCTACATCTTTCTTGACCTTGAAGATCTACCAGGATCAACTGAAGAAATGGCCGGCGAAATATTTTCTCTTGCTCAATTTGCCAAGAAAAGAAACTCCGAAAGGGTGGCGACAAAAAAAAAAAGTCAACAGAAGCTACCAGTGTTAGCTGAGAAACTCCTATGCAAATGGTGACCCATATAGAAGAGGTCATCGAGCACACTGTCCGGGCATACTTGGTACAATAACAAGTTTTTGCGACGACAGTTGAAGAAAATGGAGCTGCTTAAAGGGGCTCCAAGTGTCCTACTGAGTCCGTTCAACCGGTCAAACAATCGGTTGAAAAAAGATCACGAGCCTCATTTGCACTTGACCTAGCAGCACCATTCCCAGTCCAACCCAAAATAAAAAAAGCGCTCATTTCAATGGGTGCTTCGACTATCAAAGAGCTTGGAGTTACCCTGAGTATGGCTACTACCATCACCCTTCCGTTAAACAAGGCAATGTTCTGCGTCGAGCAGAAGTTGTGTCAATTGTTATGGCTGCTCAGCCGACAATTTTGGTAAGTTGCGTCAACTAGTGTAACTATTGGTTTAATTTTGATAACTATCATAATTTTTGCCGCTTTCACGGCTTATAGAGTGAATTACTGATATCGACTATTGCCACCATGATGTAGTAGAGTTGATCAATCAGCTGAAGGTAGAAATGGCGACCAAACAAAGCAAAACAAAATCAGCGACAATTGACCTCACTATTACATCTAAGAATATGGAGGATGAGCGAAAAATGGCCAACGATGAACAACAGAAAACCACTACCGAACAAGAAAAAACAAAGCACTCTGACTTCCTATGCCGTGCTGCTGAGGAATGGGAAAACCTTTCTAACGTGGCCTTAAAAACAGTAAATGAAGAACTAAAGAAGCTCAAAGCCGATCTGTTGGAGGCTTAAAAAGCAACAACAAAAGCATAATCAGTGGAGTCAAAGGCCTTTGAGGAGGGGGAAAAAGCAACAACAAAGAAATATGCCGATGAAGCCCTGAAGTTTGAAAATCGGGATTTCAAACATGTAACACCCTAGGAAAATTACATCAATCAAACATGTTCACCAAGGGTCAACCAATATAGAAAACAGAGAGAGAGAGAGAGAGAGAGAGAGAGAGAGAGAGAGAATAAATCCATAATAATAGTATTAATAAAATTCCATGACTATCTCTTTCCCATTGAACTATTCCAGTGATTACATCATTGTTTGCTTACATTTATCAACAAAATAAAGATAGTTCAAACGAAATGAGATAATATAAAGGAAGAGCCCAAAGGATAAACATCTTTTCAAAGAGTGTCTTTGAATGCACAAAAAAATAGAAGTCTAAATTCCCAAACAAAAATAGCCCGAGGCTTAACCCAAAACATCATAACAGAACTTCTGTGCCCCCGTCCAAAAATTCTTTCCCAAGCCAATCATTTAGGTGGTACATCAACATCGTTTCCTGAAAGATTGTTAGCTTTTAGGTGAGCTAATGTTTTAAAAACCGGACCGGTGAGTGAATCGGAAAAATGATCGGGTGGACGGGTCACCGATTCAACCGTCGGGTTGAACCAGAATCGAACCGTGACGTAATAAATATATTAAAATTATATTTAAATAAAAATATAAGTAATAAAATTATAAATTAAAAATTTTAATAATCTTAAATATTTCTCTTAATACTTTTTTTATTAAAAAATATAAAAATATATTTAAAAATATTATTAATTTTAATTTTGGAAGAAGAAATCAAATATTCAATATTCAATATTCCCTCCATATGATTTTAATTCAAATAATTTGATTGAAAGAAGAGCAAAAATTTTGGAGGGATATCAAAACTTTAAGTTTCCCTCCAATAGATTTGATTGAATCCCACATAGATTTCTTGAGTTTTTTTGGAAGAATTTTTTTCTTATAAATAGATAGAGGCTTTCACAATAATTTCAAGCTCTCAATGGGATTCCTCACAAGAGGAGACCCTTAAAAGAGAGTTTCCAATTAAATTTTTATTATATATATATATAATATATAATATATATATAATATAAGAAAGAAAGAAAGAAAAGAAAGAAAGAAAGAATAAACGCCGGTTTTCTCGGTTCTCTCAAAATAGGCCGATTTTCCACTACGATCGGTTCTGTGGGTGTATCCGAACCGAAACCTCAACCGGTCGACAGTTTAACTGGTTGACCCGGCCGGTCCAGTCCGGTTTTTAAAACCATGAGCTAGTGCCTAGTAGGAAATACATTTATCAAGTTATATAAATAATTGAGATGCAAAGATCATGCTATACACATGCTACATTAAAATCCATATTTTCTCTTTTAAAATTTATAATGCTCAATGCACAATTTCAATTTAAACACTCATCCACAACTATGGTGTGGTAAATATGCTATGACGTCCCAAGCAAGAGCCATGAAACCAAGCATACATATATAGATTTATATATAGAAAATATTCCCATATTTGCCGACTCTAAAACGGCTTGGCGATAGTGTAGACGTCCCCGAACGTCCCGGAAAAAATCTCGTTTTGTTCATTGGGGCTCACTACAGTTCGGACTCAAATATCACGGTTCTTAATCTGATCTTGCAAAGTGCAATGCGAGATTGATAAATCACCAAAGAGTCCAAATCCGGCAAATCGTTTTGAAAAACTGATTTTTTAGAAAGAAGTGCCAAACATGGACTGCTTTGCCAGATACAGAGTCGCCACCTAAATATTTTATTTTGGGAGAATTTAGGAAACCCTGACTTGTGCCCAAGACCACGTGTCCGACATCACCAAAGTTGCCTCGGCTCGGGAACTTGGGTACAATTGGGGAAGGTCATACAATGAGCACCCCCGCTCGCCCGATCAAAGATCGGCCACTACTAAACATGATATTTTGTTTTTGACACATGCGTTCTTATTCCAGTTTATTAGCCTAGAATTACTATATGACGCGCACAGTAAAACAAGTATAGACTAGATCGCCTAATTTGGAACAAAGCATTGCATATCCATTTGTTTGGAAAATGGTTTGAATTTTGCTACTCGCAAGTAGGCTAAAACGCAGATTTCAATGAATTGTCCCAATTTAAGTAATCCAACCTTCATCCATTGGCATTTAGGCAGTTATATCACATAAGCAGTTAGCCTTATGGTAAGCATGCTATCATGGAAGTCACTCACACACATGTAAGGATGCTAGAGCATAAACACTCCAAGTACTCCGAACCAAAATAGAAACTAGTTAGTAATCAATGCATGATCGTAGTTCATGTTAAGATGGCTAATGTAACACATGCAAAATGCAACTAAGATAGGCTCGGCCATTCTAAAATGGCATATGAGATGCTACAAATAACATGTATTCAACTCGGAATTGAAATACAATGTAGTTAGTATGATGCGCTGAGCCCGGTGCATGCAAGACAAATGAATGAATGCAAACATGCGA